AGAGACAGGTGACAGCCTCACTTTTTTCTCTCCTCTGGAAAAGAAAAAGAGGTTATCAGTTACAGAATAATAATTGGCATGAAATTGGGGCCATATTGAAAGTGACCCTGGCACACCTGGCCAGTTTGGCTTCACTAAAATTTTAATGAGACATTAAATAGAATATATTTTCACCATTTAGAGTTTTTGTATTGTACACAACTAAAGTGAATTGGACCATTTGGGATGATGCCCAGAAATGAAAGAAATAGGCTGACCTAATCAAAGGGTGTTTTTTTTGTTTGGTTGGGTTTTTTGTTTTGGTTTTTATTTTAAATCAAAAATATAAGCTTATTTCATCATGTCAAACTATATCCTGGGATGAGGAACTTCAGCTGGTGCAGGTATGTCACAGAGCCAGTGCACAGCAAGGCTGTGCGGGGAAACCCCAGCAGAAGCTGCGCGATGCTGCTGGGACACTGGAGCTACCCAGGGCGTATTCACACAGGAGCAGACACAGAAAGCACGGCCAGCGCCAGTGAGCGTGGCTGCAGTACTGCCACTTGCTGATGGCTGTCTCCCTGCTGCAGCAGCATCCTGTGCAGACACAGTTTAAGGAGGAACATACTGCTGTGCAGCTTGAGCTGGCATCCATCTCCACAAGAGCAGCCACCTGTACAAGACAGTCCTACTCTCCCAAACCGCCTGGTTCACAAGCTGATTCACAAGGTGTTTAGTTTGTGTAATCACAATTCCAGGAAATAAACTCATAAGCACCCCTTCCAGAACTGCATACACTAAACCCCTTGCATATAACTAAAGAACAGCTACTGAAAACCTGGTCTCAAATGCACTGGGAGCTATTTTAGTGACAATCTGAGGGGTCAGGGATTTTCCCTGCCTAGCCACAAAGAGATATAGTAGTATTCGAGTGAAATACCTCAGGCTGTCTCTTCTCTTAACTCCGTCTCTAAAAGAGCTTCCTTCTGTTCTCACCTAGGTTCAAATTTCAGCCTTTCTGCAAAGGCCAAGCCCCCACAGGCTTTGCTGTGCTCATAGTCTGCTCTTCTATTCCAGCAAGTTCCTGAGACATGAGCTAGATCAAAACCTACCCGCTCAATTCTGCGGTTTTAGACATTGATCACTTAACTGAAGAACATTTTTAAAGTTTTGCCAACACCCAATGGCACAGTACAACCTCAAAATCCAGCACCTCAAACTCACCAGCTTTGCTTCCGTGCCCCGCATGGCTGCACTGACAAATCCTTTGGGGGTGTAGGGATTTGATTATTTTACATAATGGAGGGGAAGAAGGAAAAATCAAACACCAAGCTGATGGCCTGGTCCTTAGCTTGCTGCAGATGTAAACTAAATTACACATTTCCAGTCCAGCTGCCTTCCTCAAAGGTTATAAAGTTACAGCACACGGCAGCCCTTACAGTTTTTTCCCAATCACCAGATGGTCTGAGGTGCTGCTTTTCCCAACAAACAGGCACAGGTACAAGAGAAGTGTATTTCCAAATTGCAGTAATCTCGTTTATGACCACAGAACAAAAATAGGTAGTATTGAAAGATCCTAAACCACATAGTACGAGACAAACACATACTCCTTACAAGAGATTTCCCCCCTCGCCTCATAAATTAATAAGAAAAAATTTTTAAGAGCACGATGGGGAAAAGAAAAACCAAGACAGTCTTTGCAGGGAAGGGAAAAGAACAGAATGGAAAGAGACTCAGGTCAAAGAAAGCCAACCAAACACTGGACAAGTTGGCTGGTAGTATTCTCCCTGGCCATGTCTGTTAAGTAATCATTGTTGATCTAGTGGAGAGATGGGAGAGGTTGAGTGATTGGTGCAGTACAGCTCAACCCTGGAAACACATTTCTTCTCCCTTCCCAAACAAGGCTCGCTCATATGCACTAGAGCCAGCAAACAGCAGCCTGGGAAGTGCTAGAGCAGCAACTCCTTGGAGGAAAAAGGTTTTGCAGAATTTTGCCCAATTACATTAGGAGTCTTCCAAAGCCAGGCGCCCCTCAGGTTTGGTGTGCAAAGACATCAATCGCATTTTAGAGTGGGTTGAGAAGGCACCTGCATCAAGCAGATCGGAGTTCAAGAGTGGGGGTTTTTTCCCTACACACACACACCTGAGGCCACTGCATTCTGAGACCTTGTCAGCTCCAGAACCAGGCAAAGTCACCACGTGGCAGTTCTATACAGATACTTCTAGTAACACACACAAGGCCACTGGCTGACCTACTGTCAAGGGCTTGCATAGGTATCCAGGAGGGTCATCTTGCAGACAGTCACACAAGTAGGAATCAAGCTCATCTGCTGAAGCTCAGTGCTAGTGACCTAAACACCACCACCCTCACTCAAATCCTAATGCACCCAGCACTCCTTGGGACACCTCTGCCAGAGAACTCATCCTAAGCTCCCCTGTGCTACTCTCTTTTTGAGTCACTCAAAAAATCACAGCCCTAACTTCATCTTTTTCCAGGAACAGAGTGTTGCCCAACAGCCTTATACTGTTATCAGTTTTCAGAGTGAAAGGCAGGGGAAGGGTCTGTGTGTGCATATGCACAGACTGAGGGATGCTGCACTAGAGTTCCCCATCAGGTGAATGTTCTCACTCTACTGAGCACCACATGGAGGAAATACAGGCAGATTTCTAGCTCTTTCATTGCTTCCTTTTACTGTCCTGCTTATGAGCTTTCTGGCTCTGCTGACAACAGTGCCAATCAGCTTGTAAACAGTTTCAATTTCATTTTCTCCACCCTCAAGCAGTATCAGAGAAAAAGCTTCTACAGTGATGGGACAGTGACCACTGCACTAGAGGGCAATAAGGAATTGCACAGTGTTGAAAAAGGGAACACCACCTAATGGCTGACAGATGCCTTTTGGCTTTAAGCAAAGCAAGACATACACAGCAGGGAAGAGGGGTGGGGAAAGAAGGTGTGGTACCAGGAAACATTTTTTGGAAAATCCTACGTCTAGTTTCTTACAAGCTAACAGGAATCTCTGAGATAGTCTAAAGAAAATCAGTCTACGTCAATACACAGCCTTTCTGCTTGCAAACCTACCTTTCCTCACGTTCCCTTTTTTGTTTACGAGCATGACGGTCCATCACACTAGTTTTAGTCCTTGTCTTCTTCCAGGAGTAGTAAAATTTCACCAGGCTGGCTATTGATTTGTCAGGAAGCTGTAAATTAAACATGTATCCTTTTATATGTTTATATGTAAAGTATCCCCAGGAGTTCACATACAATTGGTCTGGTTTTGTCAAGGAACATGTGATCTCTCTACCTTGGATTCTCTCAAAACTCAAGCAAGGCACTTCTGCAGCCTTCCCAAAAATGATATATAGGAGAGTGTTTCAGGTTAGTGCCTACTATTTAGGACACTGAAATCATTGAAGGGCATCTCAGCAAGCCCCTACGCACCAGCCAGGTAGCTGGTTCCCTTCAGAATAGAGGAACACAGCAAAAGAAAATCCAAACTGGGGCCTTGAAACTGAGATAACAGTTTTAAAAGCCAACACAGACATGTGTAAGCAACCACAGGAACTGCTGAATTGCAGGCTACAACCCAAGCATATCTTTGATGTTTGGTTAAAAAGGCTTATTCACACCATTCACATGACAAAATCTATTCAGTGGTCTCAACAAAAGATGTTTTCAAAAGGTGAAACATTACTGTATGGTGAATTGAGGATATAGGAAAACACAAGTCTCAGAATTTGTTTTTTTGACCTCTTATACCAACGTCATTGCTCTGTAGCTATGAATGAAAAGTTGGCCTCCAAAAAGCGTAAAACTACATTAAGACTAATTCTCTACTTCTGAGGTACTCTGCACGTTCTTACACAGGACTTCCACAAGATAAAAGTCCAGTCTTTCTTGCTGAATAAAACATTTTTTAAATGTGTCTGATTCAGCTTGGAGGGCAGGATGGGTGGGGAGGAAAACAAAACTGTGAGCAAGAGCCAGATCTTTCTTACTCAGATACTGCAGTTTAAGTCTTCACTTAAGATAAGCCTGGTTCTCAGACTCCAGGTTGGCTTTAGGTCCTAATAATGGATCTGCACCAGAACTACCACCCTGGCCCACAGCTACAGGCATAAATCCATCTGCACTGGCAAAGCACAGGTACTGTGTCGATGCTGTGTTGCCAATAGCCATGCAGCAGGCTGGTATACGAGAATTAAAGAGTTCCACAGAACAAACTCAGGGACAAGGCTGCTCATGACAAACATCCACTTGGCTACAAACACATCCTAAGAGTGCCAAAGATCAGAACCAGCTCCGGTAAATAACATAACTCACTTTTCATTCTCTGGCTTTGATAATTTTTCCCCTCAGTTCCAAGATGCACTGGTGCTAACAGGGCAGCATATACAAACTAACAACAAACGTACTCCCAAGCCATTGATTCCTGTCCCCTGCTAAACACAAAGCTTCATGCCATTTAATTCCTTTCATGCAGGATGGCTTTTCTGGGAGCAACAGAAAAAAAATATCATTACCTAGGGAACAGTGCATGAGTCTGGCATCCCTGTACTGGAATGCACTTCACTCAGGGACAGAATCATGCTTTTGCATATAAACCAAACTGATAATTTCTTGCTTTGGCATTTAACCAAGCAACGGCTTTATGTTATCTTCTTTTTCCCCAGGACACTTCCCTTTTTCTTCCCCTATGTAAGAACGGAGGAATAAAGACGACAGCTTCACCCATCAGGAGAGTCTACAACTCCCCAGACTGTCCACAGTATGCGCAAGCCCATCATCTGACCCCAGAGAGTGGGAGACCCTAGGACTCAGAGAGAACATTTGGAAACAAATGCCAGTAAGGGAACATTCAAGCCTCTTCCTGCCACCCTTCTGAAAAGGGACCTGGCAGTTTTCCTTCATACTTGGGAGGCAAGTTGCCTTTCGCTTTTCAGCAGGATCAGCAACACAGACCTTCACTTTAAAAAGACTGAACAGACTGCAGCACCTTAGGCTCACTTCAAAGGGTCACAACCAATGTAACTGGGTCCTGCTGGAACACTCGAGAGGCACTTTATGGAAGGAGAGCAAAGAACAAAGTCTGGTTTCCACCCAGCTGATGAACCACTTGAAGAAACTCTCAAGATACAATTAATAAAAAAAAATATTTTACATCCCATCCTCTCCCTCTTTAGAAAGAGAATTGCACACACCCCAGCAGTTCCCTTTCAGGCAGAAACCTACCCTCAAAGTTTTCAATCACAGTTAAAAAAAAAAACAACCAAAAAACATCACTAGCAACCAAAAGCAAAGGACTGAATGCTTGCGATGATGTATAAACCTCCACCACAGTCCCACTGACAGTCCCAAATCACATTAAGCACAGACTTCATAGGCAAATAAAATGAATTCCTAAAAAGCAGGCTGTAAGAAAGGAAATCAACTTTGCACAGAGATGATCTTTACTCTGTGTGTGGGTGGACACATGTGTACAGACCATGCCTGAACTCCAGCTGAGACAAACACTACCACAGCACACAGGGGACTGAAAACTGTAATTTCCAACCAAAAAAATGGCATAGTCAAAGTTTATCCTGAACTAATAAAGCACTTCAGGAAAACACTTGCCAGAGACTCTGGAAACAATGTTGTTTCTTTCTATTCATGGTAATATTCTTCCTCTAACATCCCCTTTGGCCTGTTCTCTCCCAAGAACATTAGACAAGAGTTCAGCACAATCATCACTGAAGACGATGGTCCAACTGCCTGCTTGGCTTTTCCATTCCTGTGATACCACTTACCATCTGCTGGATCCTGTGAAAGGTTTTCCCATGGAAACTGAAGGCCTGTTCAAACAAGACCTTGTCTTCCACTGTCCACTCATCTGGGAATGGAGTAAAGTTTGGCAGATCTGCTAAAGACTTCTCAATGTTGTGCTTGTGCCAAAATAGCATTCCAAGGGCCTAGAAATAACAAGGACACCAAGGGCTCAGTTGTAATCACAAGAAACATTACTATATGTATGCAGAAGGAGAGCAACAGTGTTTTTCTCAGCCAACACATTAGACAATTTTAATTCTCAGCTACATCAGACACTTTTCTGTGCACATGAAACCTGGTATCTGGCCCCCACCCTGCTAGGCTGTGAAGACCAAGTTTATCCAAACCACACAGGTAGTAATGTAATAATGAGTAGCAATGGAAAGGGGGGAGAAGAAAACTGAAGAAAACACTCCAACTTTACTGACCATGGTATTCACCAAAGCTAAGCAAAGACTTGGGAAGACTAGCTAAAAATCAGGCTGGACTAAAGGAAGCTTCCTTCCAGTGTTAAACTCCCCCTCATTCCCTGTGTGCAACTAGGAGGACGGTTTCATTGACTGGGGTTTTAGGTTGTTTAGGGGGCTCTTTTTAAGGGGGAGGGGGAAAAAGGGGAAAGAACTGGAAAAAGGAAAGGCAGAGAACATACACAACCTTGAACATTGCAGAGATGTCTCTGGCCTAAAGGAGGAACAAGTCTCACTCATTTTGGGGGCTGCTCATTTGCTCGACACATCTCGTTTCTCTGTTGCAGTCTCTGGCTCTCAGTTGCAAAGACAAAGTGCATGCGCTGCACTTCACCACCTGTAAACCGTCCTCCCCCCACCATCTCTAAGATGCTCACTTGCAGCCATCCCTCTCCCAGGGGTGTGCAGCCTCGTGTGTTATGACACATCACTACATCTGGCATGCCAGCGACCACCACAAGTCATTTTGGGAAGGTCTGATGCTGCAGAGCTAGAAACTAGCCTTTCACAATAGCTGTAAAGTGAAAACAATCCCTAACATGCTGAGTAAAACATCAGAGTAACCTGTGTGTCATATGCAAACTCAGCTCAGGTTTCACACCCACAGTTACCCTCATCTAGTAGTTTCACCCTGGCTTCTCAGAGCTACAAAATCCCTCCAAATTTGGGGTTTCCCCATTATGCTTTGCTATGCAAAAAGCAGTTCCCTTATGGGATCTGGCTTGCCTGAGATTTTGCAGATAGCATGCATATAAATATTAGTTTTATTCAAAATCTTGTCCTAACCCTACTGGCCTCTCAGTGCTGCCCAGACACCCTCTCCTCCCTTTTGCCACGTGCAGAACAAGAAGTAGTCTTGGTTGCAGCACAGTCACTGAAGATGTCATGGGAGCCACACAGCTACTTATCTCCATCCACTGTGGCAAGCATAGGCTCAAAGAAACTATTGTGCAGTCGCAAAGGACCTAGTTTTCTTTCCCCTGACATCCCTTTCAGCTTCAGATATGAGCTGTACCAAATATCTCTGCTGAGAAAGCACAGGAAAAACAAGGAGGGAGACATTTTGGGAGGGCAGGGTAGTATTAAATACCATTAAGGTGCTGGCGCAGGTTGAAGGGACAGCTGCTTACACAAAGCAGAAGGTAAACAAAAAGGTTTCCTTATAGGCTTAACAGGAGCACAATATTCCTTCTCCACCCCATGCTGCCCTTGGAGAGCTCTGTGCTCATACACAGGTGAGTACACTGCTTTTCCAGCCTCCTTTGTCCCAGAGTGTCAGACAGAGGCTGACAGGAGAGCACAGCTCTTGGCCAGACTTGCTGTTAGGTTCCCAGCAGCCTCTGACTACTACCGCTCCACAAAACCACCCACCACAGTTTGACAACACTAGCCAAAGTGGGCATGCCCTGCCGGAGCTTGTTTGCCTGCTGGAGCCTGCCCTTGAGCTGGCGATGCTGCAGGGTCTGCCAGCAGCACAGCCCCAAGCCTCCAGCCACCATCCCACCGCAGCAGCACCAACAATGGGGCACTCAGCCACCATCGAGGGGAGAGCAGAGCCTAAGGCATGAGAGCCATACGTGGTGCAGATGCAGCCAGCTGGATGGAAAAGCTGCTGGGCAGGGGAGAGCCACCCTGACAGACAGCTCACCACTCCCTCCAACAAGCTGGCATGTCTTAATCTGCAAAGGTAGGTTTTGGGCAGGTAGCACAGATGGAAGAACCAGAATCTCTGTGCAGTGTCTGTCAGACAAGCCACCTGTACAGGGGTCCAAAGAGATCGGCTGTCAGGGGGGATGCACATGTGGAAAAGGGCTGCCTTGGCCAGCAAAGCCCAGAGACAGTGACCAAATGCTAAAGTGAGGTCTAACTGGCTTTCAGGGAGCTCGCATCAGCTTGTCCACAGTTACCCAGCCAACAGCAACTCTAATGATACCTGCTGAAGAAAGAGTGTCCCTTGGTGACACAACAAATCATCCTGATTTGAAAGCCTTGACACTTGTCCCTATAATACAAAAGGAGTACATGCCTTCCAGAGCAATATAAGATAGATCTTCTCCAGTTACTTCCTGAAAGTGCTTTGCTTAGCTGTCTAGGAAATCCCAAAAGACCTGGGAAACATGTTTAACTCCAGAGAATTATGAGAGTGCTATAGAAGGAATGAAAACAATTTTAGGAAAGACTTTTTTACAAGTTAGTCAGACACTTTACATCCTGGTATGGTGAGTCCCACTTCTACTTCTGTACACAGAGGAGGGGAGAAAAAATGGGAAAAAGACTTTGAGGGATGAATGGGTAGTCTGTATTTCCAGCATTAAAATTAATGCAAATCTGTTAGCCAAATCCTGTGTTTTCCAAAACACAATAATTCAGTGGTTTTTTTATTAAATCACAAGCTTCATTTTGATCAGTCTCCAGATCAGTCTATACTTTCCAAACAACACTTCTCCACTAGAATAATGAAACCCATTTTTATTACCCTGAGACCACCTCTTCTGGCAAATATTACCCACAATATCAATACTAGGATATACCCATCTCAAATGAAGTGAGCTACCACCCTTATTTTCATTTAAGGTCACAGCCTTTGGTGCTTTCATCTTCCTTTTATTGCTGTTCTCTGCTCTTAGAAACTGTAACTATCAAATTTGATCATTCCCAATTTTGCTGGAAATTTTGCTGGTTACCTCACCTTCAACACTCCTGTTCCACAAGAAGTCTTTTTGAGCACAAGTATCAACCACTGAAAGTCTGACTCAAAGATGACAGCAGAGTCATTTAAATAGAAACACTTGCCCACCCAAATCATTGGTTTCTATGGTCATGACCTTTGCCTGAACAATTTCATAAACTTTCAAGTTTTCACAGAATCCCTTTGTAGAACAGTAAGTAATTTGCCAATACAGTAAGTCATGAGATTCCCCACCTTCCCTTTCCTTCCGGGCAAGTATTAGTGCATAAGGAAACTCCACAGAATTCAGAAAAGCTTCCAAAGCACAGGTCTACTCATCTCCCCAGATGAGTGTTGAAATCGATGTTGGTTAATACAGGGAAGATTAGTACACGGTCCTAGACCACGTGGAGTAAAGGACAGGTCCGGTTCTCAGACGAGGATTTCCATACCTAGGCTAAAGGCACTGGCTACCCTCAGGGACAGCTGGTGAAGGCATCCACACCTACTACAACGGCATTCAAGGTGCCAATCTATGAAATGCAAAATGATCTGCAGCACAGTTTTGAGGTAAGTAACTGTGGATATTGATTTGCCTCAGAAAAGCATATAATGGTTCAATAGCTCCTTAATAACTGCCAATACATGAAGCACAGGTGGAGCAGTCAACTGGAAACTGCAACGCAACCAGGCAGCTGTCCAAAGACAAGCCAATCTCTTCAACATTGTTTAGGGGTTTTGAAAGTGTTCAAGCAGTAGTCACTGTAGAAAGCATAATACTCATGGCCAAACTCTGCTAGAAATTACAATGGTTTTGTTTCTTCTTTTGACTCTTGGTGTAAAACTAGGGATGAACTCCATATCCCCAAAAGCACAGATTACCATTAGGAACAGCCAGTTTTGGGACAGGTAGGAGAGGAGAAAACACAGACAATACAAAAGGGAAGAAGCAGTTCTAGGTAGCTACTTTAAGTCATGTTTTAATACCTGCTGAAAAATATTTTAAAAAATAAAGTAAGTATTCAAAGAGTTGTTACCTGCTCCATATTGTATCCATGTTTCTCTTTAGCAATGGCAATATATTCGTCCACTGAAAAACAAAAGAGAAAGCATAAAGAGCATTTCATAACCATCTGATCTCCCCTTCCCCTCTCCAGTCTAAAACCCAGTCCTGCAGCTCTGACTTCAGTCATGGTCATTGCATCCTCCAATGAGAACTCAAATAGCTGCTGTTCCCAACAATTCAGGAAAGGAAGGAAACAAAAGAAAAACAACAGACACCAGACAAACTGCTACATATTTTCCTTAAAAAGACTAAATGATGCATGATATCCAATCCAGCCTAGTACTTCTGAAACATGGCATATAGTATTTCAGAACTTGTTCAACAAAGCTATAGACATGACTGTCTCAGCTCTTTTTTTTTTTTTTTTCCAATCCCCCCAAGCAGTTGTTTTCTTACAAACAAAAATCCCCAGACACAACCATACCTTCCAATACTGCCAGACTCCTCGTGTTGCACAACCACTGCAGACATCTTGGCAAATTTTTCAGCCCTTATGCCTCAGCAATTTTCAGCTTGGACCAAACCCCACCTATACATATTATCAGGCCCCTAGGAGCTTTTAACCTTTACAATGTGAAGATGCCCTAAGGAGCTATATTTTCTATAAAGGGGACTAAAAATGTCTCTTTCAGTATGAGTGACTGAGCTTACATAATATGGAACAGTACCCATCTGAGAGGGCTGGATTGAAGTCACTACCAGTGGTGGTATTCTGAAGTCTGTGCCCTTGTGCTTGGTCATTATTAAATGCACTGTAATGATAACAACACCCTTGAAAAAAAAAATAAAAGCTAAAAGGTGAAACTCCTCCTTCACTTAATGGAGTGGAAGATGCTGGAAGCATTGGTTGTCTGTAGGATCCCAACATGCAAATACCCTGAAAGGCTCAGAACTGGTACACACAGCCAGAATTCTCTTTCTTCTAAAATTTCGGACTTCAAGGCAACTCACTTAACAAGGAACTCAAAAATAATTCCCCATTCCTTTTGTGGAGATATCCAGGGAAGAATGCAAGAAACTGACTCATGGAGATAATGTGCAGCACCTCTGGAAGGAAATCGTTGTGTGTGCATTGAAGCCACATTTCCCACTGTTTGGGCCTCACATTTAACTTAAGCTCTCAAATGTGCTTCTCCCATATTTTCTGCAAGAACTCTTGCATGAAGTCTCTAGTGACTAATGGCATGACATTTCTTAAAGCCTTTTCTTCAAGCGAGGACACTCCTCAATTCTTTCTTCAGCTGAGCAAACTAAGGAACGAACTCAAAAAGTATTGGGAAAACAAAGAGAATTGATCAGAAAATACTCAGCAGGAGAGCACCAGCCTCTTATTTTCAGCCTGTCATCAATATAAAGAAATTAAATCCAGATACTTAAAGCAGACATCTCATCTTACTAGGCCATATGACATGCTATATCAGTGCTGGCCCTTCATTTGGAAAGGAGATGCATTAGTTAATTTTCTCAAAAAGGTGTTGCAAAAAAAGGGCTTTGTTAAATGCCATGGAAAAGTCCAGGAGAATATTAGTACAGCCACATGTTGTTCCAGAAGAGCATGCAGTAAATACAGGCACAGTTCCACATTAGCAAGGACACTCCATGAGGTCCATGGGGGCTCCCAAGGGCTTGATGAACCTGTTTGTTGGACCCACATTCTGGACACATTCAGTAAAAGTTTTATTAGCCCTAGTAGTCACAACCATTCATTTACACCCCTGCAGCACAAACGTATCTACCTATCCAAGTCAACAAATTGTTCCTAAGGAGATCAGTAACAAGTCGCATTCCTCAGGGGTCGGTATCAGGACCAGTGCTCTAACATTTCTGTTGGCAACACAGACAGTGGGATCAAGTGCACCCTCAGCAAGTTTGCCAACACCACCAAGCTGTGTGGTGCAGTCGACACGCTGGAGGGATGTGCCATTCAGAGGGACCTGGACAGGGTGGAGAGGCGGCCTGTGCAAACCTCATGAAGTTCAACAAGGCCAAGTGCAAGGTCCTGCACAGGTGTCAGGGCAATCCCAAGCACAAATACAGGCTGGGCAGAGAATGGACTGAGAGCAGCCCTCAGGAGAAAGACCTGGGGGCACGAGTGGATGGAAAACTTACTATGAGCTAGCAACGCGCACTCACAGCCAAAAAAGCCAACTGTATCCTGGGCTACATCAAGAGAAGTATGGCCAGCAGGTCGAGGGAGATGATTTTCCCCCTCTACTCCACCCTCATGAGACCCCATCTGGAGTACTGTGTCCAGCTCTGGGGCCCCCAACACAAGGACATGGACTTGTCGGAATGAGTCCAGAGGAGGCCAGGAAGATGATCGGGGGCTGAAGCACCTCCCTTACCTATGAGGACAGGCCGAGAGAATTGGGGTTGCTCAGCTGGGAGAAGAGAAGGCTCTGGGGAGACCCTGTAGTGGCCTTCCAGTACCTAAAGGGGGCTACAGGGAAGATGGGGAGGGACTCTATCAGCGAGTGTAGTGATAGGATGAGGAGTAACTGTTTTAAACTGAATGAGGTTAGATTTGGATTAGATATAAAGGGAAAAATTCTTTACTGTGAGGGTGGTGAGGCACTGGAATAGGTTGCCCAGAAAAGTTGTGGATGCTCCCTCCCTGGCAGTGTTCCAAGCCAGGTTGGATGGGGCTTTTAGCAACCTGGGCTAACTAGATGACCCCTTCCAACCCAAATCATTCTATGACCATGCTGAACATGGATGAAAACCATCCCTTCTTGCATGCAACTTTTTTTTTTTTTTTTTTTTACAAAAGGCAAACATAATAATATAGTTGCACAGACAGTGGAGGTAATGGCACAGTGACAGAAACTTAGGCTGAAATCGCTGCATTGCCTAATAGAACATCCTGAGAGTTACCAAAGGGTAGGAACCTCAGAAATCAGCTTTGCCAAGGAAAACAAAACAAAACAAAAAAATCAACTTGCAGAACCACACCTCAAGGGGACAAGGGGAGAACATGATCAAGGAGGACCACATGGGGGAAATGGGGACAGAGAAGGGAACTGCCTTCTCCCTACACACCATCCCTTCCCTCCACACACTAAACAGGGCAGGGAGCATCAGTAGGATGCAGGCAGAAGAGAGACTTCACATGCTTCCAGAGTTTATAACTACACCAAAAACTGCCAGGAAACCCCAAGTGCAACATTTTCCTGTACTTCAGCTAAATGCTCACAGCTTCCTTAGGACAGGTATTGTACATGCAGTGTTATATATTTTATCAAAGGGGAGGTAAAGAAAGGGGGAGGGAAAGGAGTTGAATTCTCTGAAGTCCAAAGATGAATTAAGCTCTTGAATGCTAAGTACTCCTGCATTAACTAGCTTGCTTTCACTGTGGAAAGATCTATAGTTCCTGATTTGACTTCAGCATCTTATCCTTTAATATATACAGAGAAGAGATGAGGTCGTTCTCCTTCCCAGCAAATTACCTTTCTTATGCCAGATGCTATAAGCAAGGAAAACATACTTACTCCCCCTTGCTTCCCACCCCCCTCAAAAAAATCATTAAGGCATTTTCTCTCCTGAGCAAGAACATTAGCAAGGTCCCCACATATCAATATCAACAGGATTTCTCTTGAATCAAGTCAATACACCACAGAGCCAAACAGTAGACTGTGAGTGATCAGACACCATGAAAGGAGGCTGGATGCTTTTCTTGTCAGTGGGGTCTGCAACACCTCAATGTTACATGTCATTGTTACAGTGGAGGAAAAGAAAAACAAGAGAAAGGCAATAAGGCTTTTTTCCAACCATAAGCACATAGCAATGCTCCTTCTACACACTAAACAAGTGTTTGTGGATGAAGGAAGAACAACAAGTAGTACACCATCATACTCTACTCCTGGCTTGTTCCCTGCCTACCTACTAACAATCTAGCCCATTTTGCTTGTAATTTCTTGGTTAATTGTGGGCTCACTCGCTTTGATGCTTGCACCATCTGAGAGGTATGACAGTCCCTTGGGCAATCCTTCTGATTGCTCTTTCTTTTGCATCCCCCTCCATATGAATTGAGCAAGAAAGAGCATGGCACCAGCTGAGTCACAGGATCCCTTTAGTCTCCCATACCAGTAGAGCCTGGAATTGCTACAGGCTTAATGCTTCACATGCCACACCAGATAAATAAGTGCTCTCTTCCATCTCTGCCTTCCCCACACACCTCTAGCAAGCCCAGGGCAGTGGGCACGTGAAATTCTGCTCCACTGCATTTCGGTGACGTTCAGTCACGCTCAGCATGTAACCCAGCAGTCTGTTTAGACATCAGAGTTCGGAGCCAGAGAAGCCTGGGGCAGAGCCCTGCTTACACCAGAAGAAATAGTTTGCAAGCACAGCTTTTAGCCACTTTGCAGAAGAGAATAAACAAATGCAAAGCAATCCCATCCCATTTCCCCCAGCATCAACGATATCACCATGTACTCTTTGTACCAGCATAACTTTTTCTTGAACAGACAAGAGCATCCTCCCCTCCCATCCAACTCATTTCTACATGCCAGAAAGACATTTCAGCACAGACCAGGCCAAAAAGACAATGATACTTGCATAGACACAGTTGTGTGACATGGGAGATGCACTGCTCCTGTGAAGGCTCTTGTTGCTACTAGAAACCAGATGGGGGGAGGGAAAGGAAAGAGAATCATAACCTGGTATTTCTTTACTTATTTGGCTATATTTCTTCTCCTGCATGCATTTTTAGCTGTGTGGAGGTGAGCAGGGCCCCCTCCGTCTGTCCCACACCCAAAATGGGGTCAGCACAGGCCCAAAGTGTATTCCCTCCCTACAGGAAGTCATGCTCAAGAAGGCAGAAGCAGCACAAAGGAGGGGACACAAAGGGAACAGAGCCCCACATACACATTGTCACCAAAGAGCACAGAGTGTTCAGATGCTAAAAACCACCTCTCCCTCATACAAGAAGCGATGTCTACAATGAAATGACCAAAGGACCCTGTGTGCAGCACTAACAGTCAAAGAGATAAGGGAAATGGAAAGGAGTGGGAAAGGAAACAGAGAAA